CCAAAGCACGGAGGACAGATGCCACTCTGGAAGTACACTCTATGGTGACGTACAACCATAGAGCGTACTCCCAGAGTGGTATCCATCCTCCGTGCTTTGGAAGCCGCAACGGAGGACAGATACCGCTCTGGGAGTATCCTCTATGGTTGTACTCTCTGCAGCCCAGAGTACAGCCCGCTCGCAAGAGAGTAGGTGCCCGGCAATCCCCCTCTTCAGCTGGGCACAGCACCACTGACTGACCCAGTGGTACTCCGAAAGCACCAAGCAATGCGAGCGCCTTTGCCCCACCTCGTTCCCGCGGCTTGGTGCCTTCGGGGTTCCGCTAGGTCGGCGAGCTGTGCTCTTCCTAGCCAGAGGGGGGGGGATTGCTTAGGGGGCTTATTTGGGGGGGGGGGCTAATATTTTTGCCCACCCGAAATATGTCACAAGGTTTTCGTTTCAGGACAGGTCGTATTTTGGGAGAAACACGGTATCTCAATCCCTTGTTCACTCAGTTCTTGCTTATTTTTAAGTTCCCCTTTTCATTTAAAACATCTTTATGTCTGGTAACATTCTCTATATTAATAATATTTGGGTAAATCAGTGCCTCCATTGTGGAGAGCCAGACCAGTATTTTCAAATAATGTTGTTCTTTAATTTTCTCCCCTACTAATAATGAATTCCTAACACAGTGTCTTTGGAAATAGCTATGTATTTTGTTTCTTCCATACTATAAAAAGCATGCTAATCTAATTCAGGATCATGTTCCTCTAAGGTCAATAGTCTTTTGTTCCTCAAACCAATTCATTCTTTCACCCAAGTAAGTATCTAAGCGTGGTAGTACAATTCCCAATCTGGTAGTTCAAAACCACTTCTATTTTTAGAATCTTGCAGAATTTTCAAGCTTATCCTTCCTTGTTTTAGAACTATTATTTCTCTTCCTTTATATTTCAATGGGTTATGTCTTGCTCTTTGAAGTATCTCTGTTCCTAGTGCCTTCTTGGTAAATCTCACATGTACCTCTCTGGGTAGTTTATTTCTTGATGCATATCTTTCGTCCATCCCATCAAGCACCTCTTCCTTGTCTTCCTCCATGGCTTCCGCCAACAATTATGCCATTATCTCTGCAAGGTTTTCCCCCTTTTCTTCCTCAATATTCTGGAATCTCAAGAAGTATTCAGCTTTATCCATCTCCAATGTGATTACTGTTCTCTCAAAATTTTTGTCAGCCTGTGTAAGTCTATCATTCATCTCTTCCACTTTCTTTTCTGTTTTTCTGATTTCTATTTTCTGCATCTTTTGTTCATTTTTTATTATTGTTTGTTGAATGTTCTCCATTTGATCATCCATCTTTTACATTTCCATTTCCCCCCCCCATTTCGTGTCTTTAAAATGTTTTGTTGTGGCTTCTTGAAATGTTTGGAGCATTAATTTCAGTTATGCTGGCATTGTATTCATCATGTTCATTTTTTCCTGCTGCAACATGCTATCCAAAGATCATTGACTTGTTGGACTAGATGCAGCTATGAGGAGGAGGAAGAGGACGCTAATGCATTTTTTCTCCCTAGTTTGCTTAAATTTGAAGTCTTGAAATCCTCAAAAAAAATTAAAACAAATAATCAGCAATAACAAAAGTAATATTCTAATATTCCCTCACCAATTTCCACTTAAAAGAGTATTTTCACAAATCAAGCCACCACCAAAATCTCCAAATAGTTACAAACTTGCTGTTATGTAGTCTAAAATAGAGGAAAATAGAAAAGAAAAAGAAGAAATAAAGTTCCTTCTTAATTTTTAGGTTCTTCAAACACTAATCTTTTCTTCTTTCGATAGATTTAATAATTTTGATAAATTTATAATCCACGTAGGCCCACCAAGCCCCAAAGTTCAACCACTCAGGTTCATAAATCACCCAAAAGGGGGGGGGGGGAAAGTTCAAACAGGAAGAAAAAAAGAAAATTCTTTGCTGTTTCCCAACTTCTATTTACTTTATCTGTTTAGCTTTCATCTAAATTCAAAGAGCTACACTGTTTAAAGAGTTACAATAGTTCACTCTCTGTCTCTGCTGTCTCATAAAAACAATTTGCTAGAGCAGGTGTTATTGTAACAAACAAGCTTCCCCGCAGTACACAGCCAAGGTCATGCTTTCATAGCTTTCGCTTATCTATAGTTTTCTCCAGTAGATGTCGCTGTTCTATTTCTCTCCTTTGTCTTTTGTTAGCTTAAATTGTATCATCTGCTCCAAAGCTTTTTAAAAGTCTCAGGGATCCAAGTTTCGTATTTTAAAAAGTTTCCAACTTAGTCTATCTTATATTTTAAATCCCCAGTCCGACTTCCTAGTTTTTAAATTTCTTCTCTTTTTAAAAAAAAATTCTCTACTTCCAGTTCTGTAAATAACTCACAAATTTACTCACTGCTATTCTTGAAGGTGGAAAACAAATAGTTCCACCTCCTCTTCTTTGAGTCTCACTTTCTCCCAGATTTATTTTAAGGGGGTAAATTCCACAACAGGAGTTGGAAAAGTCTCACCCAGATCGATCACACTGTTCCTTAAATTCTATGCTTGCTGCGTCAGTTGGCTGTCACAGCTTCAGTCAAACACGCAGTGGCCGTCTTTTTCTTCCCACCTAATTGAGAGTTTCCTTCACGTCAAACAAGGAGTATGTGGTCTCCTTATGATCCATGGGGTATCCTCTCTGTCTTCATCACCCCTCCAGAGTGATTTGGGTCCCTCAGAACCTCCTTGGCAAGTCAAATTCGGTGTGATCCCTCGGAGCCCGGTGGAAATGCATTGTATTGCTACGATGTCAGCCCTGCCTATCCCACAGATGCAGTTGCTTTAAGATGTTGCAGTCAGGTGCCAAACTTATAGTCCCATGCATTCTGAAGCACTTTTTAGGATATTTAAATCCAAAGCACTGCACAGTCATATTAAAAAAATATCACAATATATGAAATTTAGTTTTCCCTTTTTCACTCTCTTTCTCCAAAGATTATATTTATGGTAGGACGAGGTTATCTTTCTCCGGATCTCAGCAAAGTGCGAAGCAATTGTCCCAAAGCCATGAAGAGACTAATGGCAGAATGCTTGAAAAAAAAGAGAGATGAAAGGCCTCTCTTCCCCCAGGTAAGAATTTCTCATATTTGAGTTAACATTTAGTAACAGTAGCACAAGAACACTACAAGAACAAGTTGGCAATGCAACTGGATGTCACCCAGTTAGGTTGGCCTGTTAGAAGATAATAGCAGACACACATTATCTAGACCAGTGACAGTGGACCTTTTTGACACTGAGTGCCAAAATTGGAATGCACTCGTGCCAGAGCCTGAAAACTCAAAGACCAGCTGGCCGGTGCACATGTGCGTGCTGGCCAGCTGGTCTTCTGGTTTCCAGTGCACGCTGGCCAGCTGGTCTTCATGACCACCAGAAACCAGAAGATCAGCTAGCGACGTCCTGCGTGTCCACAGAGAGGGCTCTGTGTGCCACCTCTGGCATGCATGCCATAGGTTCACAATCATGGATCTAGACTTTCTTCTCAACTGAAATGCCAACCTTATACCCCTTTTTTCTATGATAATATTAATAGGAGAACCTTCATACTTACATCCTAGATTATGCACACCAGATACATATTTAGCTCTGCATCTCACAGCAACTCCAGCCAAGAATAGTCTAATCTTTGAAATCTTATGCCCATAAACAAAATGATATAACAAACATATATAGAGGTAGGGCTTTCTAGTTTAAATAATTCTGTTGCTACAGGGATAGATTTAGTCCAGTGATGATGAAGTATGAGGTTCCATGAAAATGAAAACAAGGTTTGACTTTAATTTTTGAATAATCCCTCCTTGATAGTTAATGTGCTATTCTATTACTGCTTTGATAAATAAATATATCTCTACTCTGAAAATGTGTATTTCCTATCCAGGTATTTTGACAATCAATCCTAAAGTGAAAAAACATAGGTTAGCATCCTTCAGATTTTATTGGAAATCTTGCAGAGTTATGAAGAAAACAATCAGATTTAAATAATTTAACCATCCACTTTTTTTCAGTCAAGATTTTCAACAAAATGTAGCACCTTCCAATTCCCGCCTTGCCTTTGTGACATCAGGAGAGGAGACTGAGGAAGGATCCCCACCACAGTATATGTGAAATATTTATGCTTAAAATTCTTGTAAAAGCTGCAATTACAATTTCAAGGTTGTTTGGAATGAGCTTTTAAATGGTTTCAGTGCTTCCCTTGGGTTTTGCCTTTGCAGCATTCCAGTTGTGCTTTAGGCAGTAAGGTGTCTCAAAAGTCTCTGATTTTCATTGAATTTTCATTTAAAAGAGGCAGTAATTAGCCACATTATCTCAATCATGTTTGTAGGAGACTGGAGTTAATTCTTAAAATGGCAACTTCTCTATTTATTAAATTTTACAAAATTCATTAAAAACAATACATCTAACAGATTGCAACTTTAAATATTATTTGTGATACATTGTATCCATATAAGTGATGCTAGGTTTTCCTTTGTTTTCAGATCCTTGCATCTATTGAGCTTCTGGCCCGGTCATTGCCAAAAATTCACCGCAGCGCATCTGAACCCTCCTTAAACCGGGCTGGTTTCCAAACAGAGGATTTTAGCTTATATGCGTGCACGTCTCCAAAAACACCTATCCAGGCAGGGGGATACGGTGGGTTTTTGGTAAACTGAAAACAAATTGAGAATGATTTCTAATTCCATTAAGCTATTTAAAATCATTGACAAAGATGGACTGACTAAGGACTTATCTAATCTTGGGCTTTCAGTTTGCTCAGATTAGCTATCTGTTGCTGGCAACAGAGGGTCCTCAGAATTGCCATCCTAGACAAGCTCATGAATGCCTCTTCATTAAAAAGATTTTCAGAAACTAATATGTACCCGTTTGTGTTTGGGTTATAGGTGAAATGTTTCTTTTTTGTTTGTTTCATTGTTGTAGTTTAATTTGATTCTAGAGTTTTGTGTTTGCATTTTAAAAGTATTTTGTCATTAGATAGCAACAATTTTAAGTCAGCAATATTGATGGCAATGCAAAAAAAAGTAAGGTAAAAGAGTATAAAAACCAGGTGCCTCTTGATTTATTTGGCAGAGTTGAGCAAATATCACAGAATATCAAGGCGCTGATCAGTAGTATGTGTTTTTTTAACTTCCTGCTCACCCAAAACAATTTTTTGTTAATACAGAAGTCTTTATTTTCTTTTGACATTTCTGTTGACTAACACTACCTTTATCTGTGTGAAACTACCCGAGTTATGTCCCTTTGCACTAGTTCCCTTAGGTGTGTAGAGCATCATGAAGCTAATATACTTGAAGGGGCTTTAAAAAGCAGAAAGCAAAACAGAAATATGTCTTGTTTTTGTCTCTACAATTGTGTGTTGAAATGGCTGCTATGTATTAAAACAATGATGCCCATAATGGGGTAAACTAGTCTTGTAAAAGCAGAGTGGTAAACTTTAAAAGTTGTTTAAAGGTGGGATATACAAGTTTTACCACCAGTCTCAAAAGTCAATGGCTTTGCTGTTGTTGCTCAATATTTTGTAGGTTTATGTTTCTTCTAAAATCTCCTTTCTGTGGAGAAAATGTTTCATGCTTTTGTATGGAATTTATCCAGCTAAATTCAGATCTCCAGTAAAAGCAAATTGTAATCCAGGGTTTCTTGGACAGAATTCTTCCATTTTCTCTTTTTTTTAAAATGATATTTTGTGCTGGAATATCTAGTTCAAAAAGTAAATCCTCATATGGCCATTGTTACATTGCCCTTAGCTTAAATAATAATCTTTGTTATTTTCAGCATTGAACTTTTAGTCTAGATCTGCTTTTCTCAATTTTATGCCCTCTTAAGATCTCCAAGATAAATCTCGGAGACAGGAAAACTGAGAAAGGTTCCAGGTGGATTGATATTTGATGTACTTTATTGTTCATGACAAAGAATTGGGTACCTTCCTATATCTCTTAGCAGCTGCCTTACTTTTTCTGTTTGGTAGAAGCATTTGATTTTCCAACATAATATAACAATGATCTTGTTGATTTCTGAGAGTTGCAATCCTAACAAATGTGGGGTTTGGATAAGGCAAGCATTGCTCTCAGAGATTGGGAGATAGGTAGCATAACCTTGTGCTAATAAAATAGCATTACTTTTTAATTATGCTTGCTAGGAGGAGGGAGATATTTCCATAGTAGGCAGCCCTCTGTGGCGTATCAAATGGCCACTTAGACCTGGAGCCACCTGTCTTAAGAAAGGGCCCCTTTCTGACCCTTTCTTATATTTTGTATGTAGTTGGTTTGAGATAGTAGTAAAAAGTTGCTCAAGGTTTTAAAAAAACCCTCTATAGCAGAATAAAATTTACATCACTACCTGTTTGGGATTATTGATGGCATGCACTAGCATGTTCCTTCCTTGTTGGACCTATTTAATTTATAAAAGAAAGTTAAAGTGGCAAATCATCTCTCACAGCAGTTGCAAACCTCTATTCTTTAGCAACATTGAACAGTGATAGTTCAAAATAACAATTGCAACTAAGCAAAGAATAAAAGGAAAGACACTTGGTATGTTTATCAGAAGTTGTTGGGAGTTAGTAGCAAGAGGTCTGGTATCTCAACATTTTGGCTGCTTCTAATCATGCAACAGTCATCCAGCTTTGCTTTTGGTTTTGTTTTGTTTTTTCTCATGACATTTTACAGTACATATATTAAATTTATATTGCCCTTCATTTTCTTATATCAGCTAAGAATTTTTTATTGAAATATTGGCAGTTTTTGATTCCAGGTCAGTTTCCCATGTCTGTTTAGTGAACAGGACATACCCTGTCTTACTTTCTTTTGAGCCCCGAAATAAGCACTTGGCCTTATTTCCAGGGAGGTCTTAATATTTTTGAGATGCAGGAGGCGGCGAGCATGGCCACCTCATGGCTGCTGATGTGTTGCAATATTTTCAGAGTGGGCTTATTTTCAAGGAAGGGCTTATTTTAGCGCATGTGCTCAAAAGACCAATTGGGCTTATTATCCGGAAAGGTCTTATTTTCGGGAAAACAGGGTACAAATTAGGGTAATATTAGGTTATGTTATTCTTACCTGTAGAGTATCATTAGATAATGAGAGGGGTTTCCAAGAAACTGTTCCTTGTATAGTTCAGGAAATGTCAGAATGCAGTGTTCTGATTATCTATTAACAACCATTAAATTAAACTTTCAAATATTCTCTTCTTGAATCTGAAACCAAAATGGCTTTTAATATGACTTGAAATGGCCCTTGTGCTTGGAGAGGAGGATCTGAACACACTGCATGCCATGCTTATATGACTAGATGAAAGATGAAGCTTTTTGTTCTGCAACTTTGCCTTTACCATTTCTTACCACCATTTGGAATTGTTAATATAGAAGAGCAGCAGGAACAAAATTATTAATATAAATTAATTGTTAACCATAAGCTTGTATACATGGACTCAAGATCACTGAAAAAAATTCAATGGAAATGGGTAGGAGAACGTAAATGTTTTAAAATTGGCTTCAAAGCATGTTATTTGCTCCATATTAACGCAATAAATTCAGAAGCTATTTATGAACAAGGTTTCATTTTAAAAAAAAGATAAATGGCAGTAGGGAGTCATGTATTAAACTAAAAAGTTGCATGTATATGTAAAGCTGTCTTGCATTTTTGTATTATTAATGGATTAGTAACATTGTAAACTATTTACGTTTATGCTAATAGGTAGCTGCCATTCTGGAGTCAAGCTATTAAAAGGTGCACTTTCTAAGTTTGCATAAATATAGATGAAGGGATATTCCATCTACTTTCTGACTTCTAAATTAGTGAAATGTTAGTTGTTTAAAGAGCTCCTGCTATTCACCCTCCTTTTAATATTTGGCCTTTAGGTTTCAGTTACCATTATGTTAGATCTCCTAACTTTGTAAGCTAAAAACACATGAATAGGAATCATAGAAATATATAGGATAACATTTTCTGCTTGCAAATTGATTAATAGAACCTCTTTTACAAGCTCTTGTAAGATGGGCCAGGTTTATTTTACGGATTTTTAAAAATATTTTGTTTGAGTATGCTTTTATTCCAAACGTCCGAAAGATCCTTTGGCACAATTAACTATTAACAGTTTCATTTCTCCCTAACAAGATGTCCGGTATATAGTGTCAAATCTATACTGGATAAAGTTTCTGTCTTCCTGATGAATTAAACCTAACTTTTAAAACTTGATTCTTATCCTCCCTCTACAGGCGAATTTGCAGCGTTCAAGTAGCCACAGCATCATTGGCAGCAAATCCACTCTTTATTTTTAAAGTCTTGTGTTCCGACCGTTTCTTTTTAAAATATTCAGACTCGCTTGTGCTCCTCTAAACACTGCAGTTTAGAAAAACTATAGATCTGTACACTTAGATCAGATGAGAAGAGAGCTCCCAATCCAACCTTGGGTGGAAGGGAAAAGCTCTTGTTTGGGACAAGCGCTTTCCGCTGCCTCTGTGTCCCCCTCCAACAAAAGTCATGTGCATTTGAAGATCTCTAGTGGCTGCCTGTACCGTTGGCATCATTCCCAGGAAAGAGGGAGGGCTGCGCTTTGACTTTCTGGTGCTGTGGCATGATGAAGTTGGAACTCCTTCTGCATCATAGGCTTGGGATGATCTGCTGGCCGGCTTTCTCCCTCTAACAACGATTCATCAGAAGCTGAACATCTGATGAGACAGAGCTAATCAAAACAATCATCCTCTGGTTTGATTTTATTTTGTGTGTGTTTTCCTTCCCGGTGTGCTTACTGATCAAAAAACTAAGTGTGTTTCCTTTTCAATTGAACTTTCACTCTTTTGATTTCACAAAAACGAAAATTCAGTCAGAAGAGTCAGTCAGAGTCATTTGAAAAGGAAAGGCGATTCTGCACTTCCCAGAATTGCTTTTATCTCCTATTCAGAGCCATCCTTTTCCCCATCTTTTCCTTTTTGTATACTTTTGGAATGGGTTAGGAGCCTTTTTTTGTTGGTCCAGCAACAAATGTTTTTACAAAAGTGTAGCTAAGCTCAACACACGTGGCTTTCTTTTCATTTTGTATTGCAAATCTGAATCTGTTTTGTGTGTTGAACTTTTTGGGGATGCCCAGAAAGTCTAATACAGACTATGAATAACAAGTGTACCTATTTTAAAAGGTACAAGGTAGTGTCAGGTACCTAACGTTTCATAAGCAGACATTCTCAGGTTGAATTGAATACATTTCAAAAATGAAACCCAGCCACAACCTTCCCAAAAATTAGACATTCCAAAAAAAATGTGCTTTGGTACTTTTTATAAAAAAAAAGCAGAACTTTTAATCATGTTAACTCAGCAAACTGTGAATGAACATTGTGTGCATGAGAGAGAGAGAAAATGCAGCAAATTGGCTTTAATGGCAGTTTGCTGTTTTGTTGTTTTTCTATACAAATGGTACTTGCTGGATCAACACTACTCACCTTGCCTATCCTCACCTTTTCCCATGCAATTTCTTTTCTTGCCCTTATTTTGTATCCTTGGTAATTCCATTTTGCTTTTCTCTTTATGCCTTGTCCTTAAATTTAATTTGCAAAATGGTTTCCAGTTCTTCTTGTTATCCAAACAAGATAAAATGATACAAAAATCATACTTTAGGTTATCCCTAGTAGAATTATGAAACTCAATGAATTATGAAGTAAGCAGAATTCTCTATGGTGTGATGATTTTCCTTTTTTGGAAAAGGATAGTTGTGTGCCACTGGAAGAGAATTCATAAGAAAGGAAGCCTTATTACTCTGTCCTGCCCTGTATTTATAGGTAGGAGGCTGGAATAAGCCCCTGTGCTAGTATAGTTTCTAGTGGATGAAACCAGAGTATCTATGAAAAGTCAAAATTCAGAGTTTACATGTTGATTCTCCAATACTGCAGACCTAAAAAAAACCAAAAGATTATTTTTTAGCAAACTTTGTTTATAAAACTTGATTATTATTATTATTTTAAAAAAAACCCTTACCTTCATGGTAAAGGAACTGTGTAGTGCATTTGATTTTTTTAAATTGAAATGGGTCTTACAGAAATGACAGCAAGAGGCGTAATGAAAGCATGTTGTATATTCAGACACTAACAGCATCACTAACAGTGATGCATTTCTGCCTAAGCATCACTGAAGTGAAATGAAGTAATGCAGGAAGTTATAGATGTGTTCTTGGATGACTCCTTTTCACTTCAGTGATTGATCTGCTTTGGGAAAGCTTCCTAAGAATTTATTCAGAACAATAAGATTAAAACAACTTGTGTCGTCTCACAAAAAGTATATAAGGTTTGTTACAAATGTAAAGCACAACGCTAATGGTGGCCTGCAGTAATTTTTCAGAATACCAATTCTCTTTTCAACTCTTTACAGTTCCACTGCCTTCGTCACCACCACCCACCATCATAATCTCTCTTAAAAGGGTGAATATCATGTGCCAGTATGTTGAAGCATACATATTGTGTTTAGAAGAGAGGAAAACTACAAGGAATCTTTGCTGTCTTCATAAATTCATGCAGAGAAAACATGATAAAGTAGTAAACTCCTTGAAGCCAATTCTTCTCAGATCACAATAACATTGATTTATTATTAGATTTATATCCCGCTTTTATTTTGTACAGCTCAATATAGCATGCTGGGCAGCAAAGAGTACTTTTGGCTCCATAACACTCAATATAGACCAGTGTGGATCATTTGCTAAGGAATATTGGGCCACCTCATATTCTGTTGATTGATGGAAGGCAAAACCAATATTCATTCAGACTTCTTTCCTCCTCCTCTTCCTTAGATACTCTGTGTTTCCCCAGGAAAGCTATCCAGTAGTTTATGATTTGTGAGGGTTATTAAATATTAGCATAACTAAAAATACCTGTGTTTTGCTTACATGCCATTAAGAAATCTGAAAAATGTAAGTAATAATTGCAGTTGCTTCATCAAATTATGCAGCATTGAGTCAGTGGATAAAAGCAGTTCGTAAACATTCTAATTACACTGACTATTATTGCTCCAAAAGAATACATTTAGATAACCATTTATCAATGCCCCTTCACTTTTGAATCCCAAATTGTTTGATTTGAGATATTCTACATGTGCATCAGAAAAACAAAGAAGCAGGACTATACACCAATCACATTTCTATTGGTTGGTTGGACTGGCTGTACTTCCAGCCTTACCTTTTTAAAATATTCCTGCATTTATGTGTTCTGTTTCATCTTCTTTGGTGCTAGGATTTATAGCAATTGTTTTGCTTCCTCCAAGCAGCATATCCATGTCATTCCCACAAACTTCTCTAAAATGTTGGATATTGACATCTCTTCTATACAGGATTCCAGTATATTCCTTCCATCTTTGTTTGATCTTTTTTACATTAGTTACTGTCTGCCCACTGATGTCTTTTACGTGTAGCTATTTTGAGTCTGAACTTCCTCCTGAGTTCAGAGATCCTTTGGAAAACTTTTCTTATTTTTTGTGTTTGTTTCCATCTTCATTGTCTTTACACGTGTAGCAATAACACTCCTTGTCTTTTTAAACAGCTCACTAAAATTCTTTAGTTTCCTGAGATTTTTATCTTGGCTTTGGCTTCTCTTCTCTTGGCAAGTCTCACCAATTTTTTTGACACTTCGTGGGGTTTTTTTTCTTTTCTTTTTTGCTTTGTTTTTTTTTTGTTGTTTTGTTTTGTTTTTCATTTTGGTTTTTTTCTTGGCAGTTTGTTTTCATGTTCAGTAACTTTATTTCATTCCACGGTTTCTCCAGATTTCTATCAATGAGGTTCAGGACTTCAAAGCAATTTCTGATATTCTCCTTGAAAATGATAGGTACATGCCCAAAATCATTCTTCCAAAATCTGGCTGTCTTTATTCTTCCACTTTATCTTGACTTGCAACAGT